TAATACGTAATAATTTTTTTCTTGTTTTTAAACTACGGCCCGACACGTTCGACTGCGCCGGCTGTCTTTGCTCTGAGATCTGACGCTCCAAATGTTGTTCGGAATACGTGTATGTTAATAAAGAAGCAAGAGATCATTTTGAATCGTTATCGTGAAGTAGTTTCGTGGTAGTAGGACCTCTTGGGAGTCCGCACGGGTAGGTACCACCACCCTGCCGTAATGCGTTTCGGTTTGAAGGGTGGGGCAGCCGTTGTAACTATACTGAGACCTTAGAACTTATATCTCAAGGTGGATGGCGCATTTACGTTGTAGATGTCTATGGGCTCCAGTAACCACTTAACACCGGGTGGGCTGTGAGCTCGTCCATCCATATAAGCAATTAAAAAAAAAAAGATTTATCGGGCTCACATCGAACCCACCCAGAGAAATATCGAGTTGAAGTCTCACCGACATTCAACAAACAATTTATTCAAACTATATTTATGAATATTTGCTTAGTTTAATGAGAATATATGCTAACTTAATTTATTTTACTAAAATATAGTACAGCGTATAACGTAATGGTGTTTCTCTCTGTCCACTGAAACTTCCCTAAGATAGAATCAGATGACACTGTGCTGTGGTGTGGTCTGGTCACGATGGATTAGAAGAGAGTAAATAATACGTCCATTCAGTTTGAAGGTTAGGATAAACCTAACCGGTGTATATGGCATGTCCTTCTTCAAACGAGGCTTATGGAGAGTATTAAGCGGTAGGCAGCGGTTTGGCTCTGCCCCTGGCATTGCTGAAGTCCATCGGCGACGGTAACCACTCACCATCAGGTGGGCCGTATGCCCGTCTGCCTACAAAGGCAATAAAAAAAAAAGTGTATTTAGTTACAAGACAGTAGTACTGAAGAAGCACTTTAAATAAGGCTATATACATACTTGAATAGTTACACACTACAGTGGATCTATATGATTATATCATGTCTATTATGGTTTCTATATTTTTCAATGGATGCGGCTGATGCATCCTGTTAGAATTTAGATCATTAATGGCGGTAGGGCGGGAACATTGGTTGGTGCCACCACCACTTCTTTGCCGCGTAGCTGTCCAGAATAATTGACTTAACATCACTGGGCTAGGGAAACTGCTGATGGTAGAGTGTGTTGTCTGGACGTAAGGGTATTTAATTACAGTATATTTGCGTTACATTGTCACAGTTCGAAGGGTGAGGGTCGTTACTGGAGCCAAGAGACCATGACGTGCATGATGCTACGGGGTGGGTACCCCTGAAGATGCGGCCGAAGCATCCATTGTACTGTATAACAGCTGCCCCCTCGGATTGGAACGCTGGGGTATTTCGCATCAGAAAGAGATAGGATCGCGGGACCTGCCTGCCCAATCTAAGTACAATGGATACGTATTACCAGCAGTAGCTACGACCATTTATTTTTGGATGGATTTTTTAAATTATTAGTTGAATTATGGATGAATGAATGGTAAATTATATAATAATAGTATTTTTAAAGATTTAAGCATACATCGAGATATAGGGACAGAGAAAGCGACTTTGTTTTATACTATGTAGTGATAGTGATAATATCTTGCTCTGCACTAAAATTCGCAAGTCAAAATAATGACAAAGCATACACGCTGCTTTTAACTTATGTAATAACTCATTTTCACTATGCTTGGCATGCTATTATTCATTAAAGCTCCCTCGACGTTTTTGATTGATCGTGGAAATCGGTTTAAAGCATGTGTTAGATAGCAGGAGTAGGAGTACACGGAACGTGTTACCCATTGTAACATTGATATTTTATACGTCAATAAATAGCTATACGTAGGTACAATAAGGATGTAAGTAATGTTTGTTTGTCCGTCGACCGGTTAACGTTCTTGACATTGCCGCACTATCAGTCGAAGCGACGCGATTAGACCCGGTCTGTAGGGCTGGCCATTCGTTGTTTCATTAATAGAGGACACACGATCCAGTTCGCCGACAGTTCACCGACATGAGTTCTCGACCGACACGACAATGCTGTCGGCACGTCGCGGCGTCGGCAGGTGTCAACCGAGCAGATTTAATGCAAATTATTTTGACAGTTGGCTTTACTGGTTTGCGCCTCGATAATTTCGATAACTCGCAATTGAAGGATCACTGCTTACTATTTCAGTATCGTATAATATTTTTATAACTCATCAGCATTCATCATTATCCTGCCCTTCTCCCTGTCACCTGGGGTCGGCGCAACATGTTTTCTCCTTCCATAGTCCTCTATCATATACGATTTTTTCCCTCACTCCCCTCTTACCCATATCGTCTTTTACGCAATCCATTCATTTCTTTTTAGGTCTATCTCTTCCTTTATATCCTTCCACATTCATAGTTAACATTCTCTTACCAACCTCATTTTCATTTCGTCTTATCACATGTCTATACCATCCCAAACGCGCACTCCTCAGCTTCTCTGTCACAGGTGCCACTTTCAGACTTCCTCTAATATATTCATTCCGTATTCTATCCATTCTCGTTACTCCACACATCCATCGCAACATTCGCATCTCTGCTGCATGCAATCGCCTTTAGTTGTCCAATATTTTTTATAACTATTGAAACAAAATATTCATAATGAAACCATTCAAAGCAACCAAATAATTAGAATTTCATTGTCAAATGTCGTGTAGTGAAATTAAATTGAAAGTTGTTGGTTGTTTAGTGTTTAATGAACACCATGTGAACTGTAAACAACCTTATGATATCGTCGTCTTTCCCTTATTGCTATAATTAAACCCAATTAATTTAAAAACGGAGTTTGATTGAAAAAAAAAACACGCTAAGTTGATTAATTTAGAATTGGCCTAATCTTCGAGTCAAACAGATGATCAATGTAAGACTGAATAGCAATAAAATAAATTTTGAGTCAAGTTGCTCTTTCAGCTCGTATTAACACTAAAAAAGAAAAGTTCATTAAACTATAATTAAATTTTCCTTTAATATAAATAAAAAACTATTTAAATTAGAAATAAAGTAACTCGCCGTTGTAGCAAACCGAATTAAAACTAAGAAAATGATTCTTAAATACGGAGAGTTCCTTCTATACTATCTAAGGTCAACTGGTTTATTACAATGAGAAAATTCTAATTATTTTAAAATTATACTTAATTTATACACACAATAATAAGTTTAATAAAATAAAAGGATAAATATAGATAATATATAGATAAAATAAAAGCGTAGGGTGTAATTAAGAAACAGTCTAATAAGAAAGTAAAAACTAATAAGATCTAGCAATGATATTTGTAGTATTTCAATCATTCTCCTCCCACTTCAGCAATGCCATTAGTAATGCTGACGTTTAGGGCAGGAGTTCGCCTACCAGGGGGGCATGAGCGATATGGCAGTCTTCCGACGTACTGCTCGACCAGGCCAGGACTATTGTGGACTCGACTTACTTTCCAAGCTGTGCATTTTTGAAAAACCTATTACATGAAATCGTCGTGGCCTAAAGGATAACACATTAGGTGCATTCGTATGCAGCGATGCATCATTGTTCGAATCCCGCAGGCGGGTACCCATTTTTCTGATGAATTATTTTACTGGTGGTACTCACCTCTTGTGAGTCCGCGCGGGTAGGTACTACCACCCTGCCTATTTCTGCCGTGAAGCAGTAATGAATTTCGGTTTGAAGGGCGGGGCAGCCATGGCAAGTATACTGGGACCTTAGAACTCATATCTCAAAGTGGGTGGCGGAATTTACGTTATAGATGTCTATGGGCTTCGGTAACCACTCAACACCAGGTGGGCTGTGAGCTCGTCCACCCATATATTCAATAAATAAATAAAACATTGAAATCAACGCTATTTACATAAAATTTATAATTATGTGCATAGTTGAAGTAGATATAAAATGTATCAGAGCGCAGCCCTAAGACCGTGACGTTGCGGACCGGTCGTTAATTATCATATTAAGTTATTCAACATTATACTCGATTATTTATACACACATACAAATAATATGTATAAAAGAATATGGTTTGTTTGTTTGACTGTTATCTTTATGTGTTCGCGTTACGTTCATAAAAGATGCCATAGCGTCAAGGAAGAAGGGTTACTCTACTGCAAGGGGTGCATACTATGTACAGAAACCCTATGATCAAACTCGCGTTGCTAGAGATTTTCTATTGCCGGCGGCTTATAATGTAACCGAGAGCCAATTCGCGAACCAAACTTAGCAAGCTTGGCATTTTATTCCAAGTGTCAGAGGGGAGACGCAATCAGCATATTAATTAACTTACATGAATTTAGGAACCATTCAATTTTAATTATTTTACCGGTGATTGTGTATACCGACTTCTATTTATAAAGGTACGTTAAAATGATCTAAAAAATCTACTGGTGGTAGGACCTCTTGTGAGTCCGTGCGGGTGGGTACCACCACCCTGCCTATTTCTGCCGTGAAGCAGTAATGCGTTTCGGTTTGAAGGGTGGGGCAGCGGTTGTAACTATACTTGAGACCTTAGAACTTATATCTCAAGGTGGGTGGCGCATTTACGTTGTGGATGTCTATGGGCTCCAGTAACCACTTAACACCAGGTGGGCTGTGAGCTCGTCCACCCATCTAAGCAATAAATAAAAAAATTGTATTTTTTTTTTTTTTGCAGATGCGCCATACAAAAAGTCTGTGTCGAATTTCATTAACAGCAAATAGCTTGGAACATCTGCGTCTACAGAGATACTTTAGTCTTATTCTGTATAAGAGTCTTTGTCATTTCGGATCCTGCCGATCAACTAACGGTGCTTTTAGGTACCCCAAGCACTGGTCATCATTCTCGTCGAACCCATCGCTTACGACGAAGGGCTCGGCGAGTAAATTGACCCATAGACACATCCCACTGAGTTTCTCGTCGGATCTTCTCAGTGGGTCGCGATTCCGATCCAGAGGTAGATTCTGCGAAGCACCGCTCTTACTAGGGTTAGTGTTAGCAACGTCGTCAGGTTTGAGCAGGTTGAAATAGCCTCTCAAGGCCATCAGCTTATGTAGGAAAAACATAAGAGCTTATTTTAAAATCAACTAATATTATACTGGTTCAAATCTCGAATTAATATCATTTGAAAATTACATTTTAGGCTGCCATTATCCAATGTCAATGAACCCTAAAACCGGAATGCAGGCCATTCTTGAAAATTGACAATGTATTTTAATCAAATTGAAGATATAAATAAATAAAAAAAACTATTTATTGCCTGGCCTAGAAATGACACAAATTAAGAAGAAGAAGAGGGCAATTAAGAATTTCATTGAAGGACTTCATGATGATAATTCCGATTTGATTTGTCGTCGAGAATGATGCATGAAAGAGCTGCGTTTTATTAAAGTGTGATTTCCGATATTGCCCCACCACCCTGCTGAGAGAAGCTGCAAGACAGCTCGTGTTGAGGATGCCTTTGTTGACCTTGAAACAAGGACTTAGGTATCAGTTATAATATAAAAGCGAATCTTCATGTCAAATACAAAAAGATTTGCAACAAAACTACGTAGAATGACATCAGCCCGCGTCGCCATCGTCTCGCTGTGTACCCATCGACATTAATATCTCGGATCGATGCATTGTGTGCATTTGTTTTTATTTTGCCGTACGTCACTTCTTTATAACATCCAGGTTTCCATTTCGGTCTGATGATCATGATCATATCATACTTTAGGTCACGACCGCGTCAGATTTAGTGGGACACTCTACTCTCTTAAACAAAAGCAAATAACATGACTGTAACTGCTCGACAAAGCTCAAACAGTAGACGGATCCTAATTATGAGTACGTAGTAATTATTGTGATTCTGGCTTATAAAGAACAATTACGAAGCCGGCTACCCAAATAAATTAAAGATTAACAAATAAACCAACACACAATGATTGAACCTCCAAAATAATTAGTTATATTTAACAAGTGGTCACGTACTGCTGTATATTTGTAGATACTCATTGATCTTAGGGAAAATCATCTCCCCCACACGACTACTGTAGGTAACACTCATGTGGTTCCAAGCCGGGTCCTTGATTAGGACTGCTTCTAGAACGTTCGGGAGTCTTTCCATCGCCCATTCAACATCCTTGGTGTCCACTAATCCGTCATTCTCCCCGTAAATTACCACGACTGGGGGTGATACAGCCGATATGTTATACTCTGGCGGCTCCGAGGTTCCGTACAGTTCTAAATTCTTCTCATGTCCGTAGTTGAACTTCACGAATTTGTCATTTGTCATTGCCTGTCCGTACTTTGCCATGTTGTGCAGCGATGTTCCAGCCGGGAAATGTCCGAAGAGCACTCTTGTCGTTTCGTTTGACATCGATCCAGGGTGAGCAACGACAGAGTTAAACTTGTTTAGGCCGGCATCGCAAAGTCCCTCCGTGAACTTAGTGAAGTGACAAAAGAAGGCCACAAACTCTTGGCTTAAAGCACCCTTGGAAAAAATTTCATGTAGACCTGCCGTCGTCAACAGCGTCTCCCAACCCTGCACTGCTTGAGTCAGCCTTCGATACATCGTTGATTTCGTATTCGTCTGTCTCGTGGCCGGAGCCAAAGCTATCATGAGTTTGATCTTTTCACAATAGTTCGGTCTTTCGGAACACATGATGAAGAAGGTTCCCGCGCCCTGTGAGAAGCCCACGTAGTTGAGGACGTCGGCTCGAGACCGGTCGAGGACGTAATCAAGGATGGCTGGCAAGTCAAAGTACCCGATTTCGTCGGCTGAGAAGTTCCAGTAGGCGGCGTCTGAGTCGGGATCGAGAGTGAGGTGGCGCCGCGAGTAGTAGTTGCCGCGAGTGTTGGAGAGCCACACGTCATGGCAAGCGTCTGCCAACAGGTAGGCGAGGCCGGAGCCGGGCCCCGCGTCCAGCCACGAGTCAGCGCTCTGCAGCAGACCGTGCACGAGCAGCACTGGGACCTGTGTACGCGAGCACCGTTGGCCGCTCGACACGCGGAAAACAGTCAGCACGAATCCGTCCTCCGTGACCACGTTATGCTCCTCGCACTGATACCCGTGGCGGGTCGCTAGTTCCGTCACGTTCAGCAGGGAGTCCGGCGGGTAGCCCAACTGCCGCTTGGTCTCATTTCGTATCGGCAGTAGCGGAAGTCTTATCGCGATTATAATTCCGAGCGCGGACCAGAGTAGCACGTTTAGCGTGTGAGCTCTCCCCGCCGCCATGTCAACAACTGAGTCCACAGTTGTACATGTAATTAATCTATATTAATACCAAGTGCTGCGACCGAAGCACACTGCTCTAAGTGTCGTTTTTTGTGAACAGACGTAAAGTAGTGGCGCAGAAAACTTCCTCAAGGTCGGTCGCTTTGTTGTTCAGTTTTGAGACTGCTGATTTGTTCTTTTAATTTTTATTTACATATCTCTTTTAATTGGAAATAACAAAAGGCCACCTTGTATTTTTAAACTAGTTATTTTGGTACTGATTTGTGAATCACTTAACGTCATTTAAAGGATATATTTAAAACCGTTGTCATGTACATAATAATATGTATTCATCGGATTGCAAATATGAAATGCCACATGAAATTTACCAACCACCCCGAGACGTACAATTAAAGACTCAATTGTTTGTATGACGGCTGTCCTCTAACCAAACGCGTGACTGCTACGCGGGCTGCTACCCGGCAGGAGGGGCTCCCGTGGCGGCCCACACAACTCTTATACTCGTTACGTCACTACTATAAGTCTGAGCTGCTATAGGATCCCGATAACGGATATTCTGATCTGCACAACGGAGCATCAACTAATTGTTCTTAGAGCTTAGGAAGAATGAATATTTTTATTAAATATTAGCTGACCCAACAGACTTCGTAGTGCCTCAATCGATAAATAAAAGGCCTAAACTTTTGTATAAAATAAACTTAAAACAAACAAAATAATTCCGTCCGACAGGGGACGACACATCAAAGGAAAAACACAATTGTTATTTTTATTTAATTCCAAGCATTTTCATATTTATCTACCTTTTAAACCTTCTCTGGACTTCCACAAATAATTCAAGACCAAAATTAGCCGAATCGGTCCAGCCGTTCTCGAGTTTTAGCGAGACTAACGAACAGCAATTCAATTATATATATAGATAGGTGATACAAGGAAATTACCAGTCACGACGCTAAATACGTGCAAATTCAATATAAAACAGATTCTACGTAGAGCTATGTAAATGTACGTAGGTACATTTAAACAAATAAATGCACATCGCAAAAACGACCTTCACCCATTTGATAATCAGGTAAAAATTATATTTAAAAAATAAGTACATACAATATGTTTGGGAACGTGTACCAATAGGGTTGCCGTAAAAAAAATCATGGCTATGATTAATTAAAATTTCAAAAAATATATTTTTTTCATATTGACTGTGTTGGTTGCCTAAAGACTCAGTCTAATCGAAAGTATGTATATTATACAACATTTGCTCTAAGCAGCTGATCGGTAGCTTACCTTTTTCAGTTCCCTATTCTGCTCTGCTTATCTGCTTACCATGACTAATACGTAAGTAATTTTATTGCGATTAGGGCAGTGTAGGGTTGCTTGAGAAAATGTGTTCACTGATAACGGTAGCCAGACTTAGAAGTTAAAAAAATTGGAGCAGACAAATGCGTGACAGGGAAGCGTTGCTCATACTGTTTCATGCGATAGAGGAGGACGCAGCATCGCAGCTGCGCGCTACCTGCCTTTAACATATGCGAAAGTGCGCATGCTTCCTATCCGTTCTATGGACAAGGGAAAACGGTAGGCAGCGGCTTGGCTCTGCCCCTGGCATTGCTGAAGTCCATGGGCGACGGTAACCACTCACCATCCGGTGGGCCGTATGCTCGTCTGCCTACAAGGGCAATAAAAAAATTATACCTTAGTATAGAGCATCATTTTGGAGAGTAATAATATATAACGTTCTAAAAAAAATAAGAAAAGGAAAAATATTATGCAGCATGCTGTGGTCGTCAACCGGCACTTACCGGTCCTCCTGGGAAGACGTCTTCTGGCAAGTAAGTACAACCACGCTGCCTATTTCTGCCACGAAGCCATCTTGCGTTACCGTTTGAAGGGTTGGGGCAGCTATTGTACTATATAATTAACACTTTGATATCATATCTCGAGTGTTCGACGGCTCCGGTCTGCTCGTTCACTCGTCTACGGTAAATAATAATAGCATCAATAAGATTAGAAAAGTCCTGAGTGGCTGTCGTCCCCACTCGCCAGCGGGCGGGCCATACGCGTGTAGACTTGTACAAAGAACATTTTTGTTGCGTGCCACAGCTGGATACCACACGAGTACTTAAACATCAGCCCGCTGAGTTTCTCGCCGGATCTTCTCAGCGGGTTGCGATTCAGATCCGATAGTAGATTCATTCGCGAAGCAGTTATTCTTGAGTTGTTAGGTCCCCTTTGAAGGCGCTCGGACAGTTGTTAGCAAATCCCACCCCTCCTGGCTTAACCTTGCGCCTACAGGCCACCAGTAAATGCTTAATCATAAAAAAAAACACACGATTAGTTTTCTTGTATCAGTTGTGTAGAATGTATTCTAACTCAGTTTTCAAGTTTACCTCTAAGAGCTCACGGGAGCCACCGCTCTCAACTGGAAATTTAAATAAATAAATAATTAACATTGAGTCATTGAGATTCCATTATTTTTTAAAATTACACACGTCAAATGTGTTTGTCATGAAATATTGGAAAGTATAATTTTTAAATAAAGACTTCATAAAATTATGAACTTATAATTTAAAATAATGAATTTATAAAATAAAACGAACATATTATGGTCACACTATTCAGTAAGTTTGCAAATAGTGTACGTTTAACGGCTGTATTTTTATTAGACAATATTTTAGTGTAGTAGTAGCATCCTGCAGGATGAGCCGCCTGGGACGCTCTTGTCCAGGGATGCGAGTGTGTCGGTGTTGGATACACGCAGACAGGCAGGGTGGGATTAAAATTAAACTTGAAAATAGCAAAATTTACCTGATTCCTTATGGCGTAATACGCCCTGTCTCGCGATGCGTTAGGGTAGGGTCGGCAGGCACCGCCATCTTGCTTATGGCATGCAAAAGACTTATGTTCGGATCGGACGCGTCATGCACGTCGTGATGTCTATGTGCCGAATATGTATATTTAGTGGAGTGCGAGTTCGCCCAGCCCAAAAACTTAAGTAGCTGGAAGCTGTTCGTGAACATAGTTTTCCAGTTTAATTTTTGCAGCCGAACTCCAGCTAGACCACTGTAAAGTTTCGAAAGTCTGATTGTAGTTAAAAACCAGAGGTTCGGTGACCTTCATATATCAGTAATCGCCATAAAGATAATGCGTGAAATTTCTATAATTTAATACTCGCGTGCCGACACGAGCCAGCGACAAACCGTTTGTAATTAAGCTGAGACACTTTGAAGTTTGTACCTCGGTAACGCGCGTATAGCACGCGAGCGCGCCCCGTGTAGCGCTCCCCGTATAGTGCGTCCCGTATAGTGCGTCCCGTATAGTGCGTCCCGTATAGTGCGTCCCGTATAGTGCGTCCCGTATAGTGCGTCCCGTATAGTGTTTCACTTTTAACAGTACAACGGCTGCCCCGCCCTTCAAACCGAAGCGCATTACTGCTTCACGGCTGAAATAGGCAGGGTGGTGGTACCTACTCGTTCGGACCCACAAGACGTCCTACCACCAGTAAAAAGTGATAGATTAACGGTGGTAAGGCGCCTTGTGAGTCCACCCAGAAAGGGACGGCCACCCTGCCTGCTTCTGCAGCCAATCAGTCATTCGAACCGGGTCGAAGGGAGGAACAACCACCATATACCTAGTCAGGTCATAAGTATTGTCACACAGTAAAAACTTTTCTTTTAGAATGCTGGCCACAAAAAAGTTTATTGAATTCGAATTTCGAATTGTTCATGAAAATAAAAATGTATACTTTTAGAATTTTACTCATTTTTAAATATGGAGTGGACGTAGTATTATTGATCGAAGGAGTGGACGCTTAAAGAAGACCGTGTTGCAGTTATTGCGTTGCATCGTTGCGGTTACGCGCCAATTCAAATTTTTAACATACTGAAAATTTTGAATATAACCAAAAGATTCGTTTATCGTATCGTTCAAAATCACGGAGGTCATTTTGAATAAACTTTAGTGTCATAAGAATCTATGTTTTGTTAAGTTCATTTTGGTATATGAATGGTTACATAATGAATAAACTTGTTTCAATTATTTTACATTAAACATGTGACAGAATTTATGACCTGACTAGGTAATAATAGATTTGTATCCCTTGTCTGATGCGGCATCCACATTGCGACGCCTATGGGTTCCGATAATCAATTCCTTAATGTGGGCAGTGGGTTCGGTCCCCCGTCCATGCAACAAACATATAATGCGCGAATTGCAAGATGCGAGTTGCAATTTCATCCACATAAATATATCGTTCTTCTCGTGTTCCACCCGTACGTTCATTCCTCCCCTATCGAAGGTATGCAAAGTGATTTTACTTACTTACCTCTCGTCCCTTGAAAGGGCCTCAGAAATCCAATCGAATGTCGTTCACTGATTTCTGCTCTTGGCTTCGTTTCACTTGTTTTATATTTAAATAATTATTTTTTTGTGTGTAATCAAAGATGCAGTCGGGTATGTCATCATAGTGTCGCCGGCGGTCTTGTCGAAAATGACTTCGTTCGCCATCTTTGATCTTATATCAAGCGGACGTAGTACGCGTCATGTTAGTCAGTATTTCTCTTATTTATAAAAAATATATTATTGTTTGAGTACCGTGTTGGACACATCTTGCAGTCGAAGTTATTGTTACTTATTGTGCGCAGAATATTTCGGTGTTCCCACGACAGGTGGCGCCACAACCAATCTATATTATCTATACTAATATTATAAAGAGGAAATATTTGGTTGTTTGTTTGTATTGAATAGGCTCCGAAACTACTGAACCGATTTAAAAATTTCTTTCACTGTTGGAAAGCTACGCTATTCCCGGGTGACATAGGCTATATTCATTACATTTTCAAAAAATAATAGGGATCCTTACTGAAACTCCAATAATGTAACCCAATGTGTAAAAAAAATACCTAAAATTCTTTACATCGCGTGCGCTGCTTCCTAAGCGAAGCCGGGGCGGACCGCTAGTTTGTTATAAAATTACGGAATTATTATATTATATTGTAATTAAGTTGTACGGAA